GCAGATCCCCAGAAAGTAGATGATTTCCTGGCCATAGACAATAACATAACAACAGAAGAAAATGCCATTGGCAACTTTTCGAATTTGGATGTAGAAAGCCCAGGCCAACTTGAATATGGTAGTCCAAACGACTCAGAAGAAGAAGTGGAACTGGTGGACTCACTAAGCGGTTCAAAAACGATAAATTCATATGGGGAAGCTCTAAATCATATTTCTATATTGAAAAAATTTGCTAAAGATGATTTCACTGCATTTCAACATTTGAAAAATTTAGAAAGTTATTACGAAAATTGTCTCCTTCAGCAAAAGATGGTGAAATTTCGTCAGACAAACATTTTAAACTTTTTTCAACAAGCTAAAGAATAATGTTTTTTTTAAATTCTCGTACCATGTATTGAAGCATTTATGTTTTTGTATGCGTATATGTACATATATTATATAGATATATAGCATAAATACATACTTTAAAAATGTGGCGAGTTTCTGTTTCATTTTTCTCATGATTATAATACCTCATTTCCTCATGATTATATACCCCGTTATTTATACTCTATACTTACATACTCTCTTTTAAACGGACACCTCCCATAAGCGGACAAAAGTTACGGAACCGTGAGTGTCCGCTTATGGGAGCTTTCACTGTATATGAAAATAATTTCTGTACTTTTGATACAATCCATCAACAACTGTGAAAAGATCTAAACATTTGAGTATAATACGTGTATATGAGCCTTAATAAAGAAAGTACGAAGTTACAGAAATGATCTTCTGACATAGTGATCAAGTACATACCTTTATACTAAAATGTTAGTTATATGGTATAAAACAATAATTTGATTTTGTCATCTGAAGAACAAATATAGTGCACATGAAACCATTTTAGTTATCAATGTAACATACTTTCTAGTATACACTTTTAAAATAATGGATATATGACATCCATTATTATAGATAAATCCAGCAGATCCTAGATTAGATTATGTTTTACTATATTCACTTACCTGCAAATTGTGTGATGAATGGGATGCAAAAGCAAACTGCAGTCAAATCATAATATATGACACCCTAAGCAAACATAATCATAACAGAACATCAAAGGGGTGTATTATGATTACAAAAGCGCAATTTCATTTTTTAATGTCATGTTACACAACAACTCAACAAGGACTTTTTAAAAAAAATTAAAATGGGCCGCGGTAAATTAAAGGTTGGATGAATACAATCGATCCCAGAGAAAAACTGAAGAGAAAGAAAACAAAAAGGTTAATGAGGGAAATGTATCTGACAGGTAACTTACCGTTTTTAGCCTGCTTGTCACTGGAAGTAATCTTCACCTGCATATTCTCTGTTTCTGACGCCTCTGTCAGCGACATAGCACGGATTTTCTTTGGTTACACTCTTTTCACAATAGTTAAGTGAACTAGTAAGGCTAATCTATATCGTTACAATAAATAATCGAAAAATTGTATAAAGAAAATCTGTATAATACACAACTAAGTTTAATATCACAGATCCTTCGTAAACAAAAACTTTAACATACGCACACAAACATGTATCTCTTCTAAACTTGATATTTCAATGGAAATATTTGTCTTATATACGATAATATAAATGAGATTCACTTTCAAACTTCATATACTCACAACGCGCATAAAATTCTTTTTAGATTCTATTTAAATTAGCAAAAATAGAAATGTACGCCATATGCCTTTCTTTCACCTTTCAAACTTGCGCCATCTGAGCGGTACTTTGTTAATTAAAATTGGGTGCACGACGCATGCGCGTGTCAAAGATTTGCGGTCGTGTTTCAGGCTCCAACTGTTTCAGGGTAAGAATTTGGGAAATGGGGAGACTTAATATCCTCAGTTTTTGAGAGGACAATATTGCTTATAATTTACAATTAAAAAAAGTAGGTTTTTTGTGAGTAGTACTTTGCAGATTCGTCAAAAATAGAAAGAGAGCTCCTATATAGCTCTTAGCACTACCTACGGAGCCCTATTCACAATTGATCTAAAGCGTGAAGGCGGGAACGTTCCTGATTTTTAAAAATAGGGAAAGATTTTAGTTTTGTAGCCTCAAATTCTCTAAATTGAAAAAAGTATACTTCGCATGGTCATATCTAGATGTAACGACTTAATGAAATTGATTCCATTAAAAATAAAAAAAATGGGAATTTAATAACGTTTATCGAGTTCACCATTATTGGCAATAGCCAAGTCAAAGTAATATTAAACAGCTGAATAATAAAAGTTGAAAAAAAGGATCGATGTTGAACTATAATAGTACTACAAGAAATATGTGAGATGCAAACGAATTTTTTTATTGGTAAGTTTTCCAAATTGTTCACTGCTGAGGCTTTGCACAGAGGTTAGTTTGGGCCAGAGACAGAAATTCCTGAGATCCAACTTATAATGGCTGCCGCATGCCGCGTAGAATTAGTTGAGTTTGAGCCAAGGATTGTATATAATCGTGTCTTTGAGGATATTTTGTATTGAGAATTGCTAGCAATTCGAGAAAATTATAGAAAATGTCAACTCGGGACTATATACTAAGAGTATCAGCTACTGCGCATGCGCAGGGTATCAGATCTGAGCATCTAGTACGAGATACAGCTTCTTCTAAATCTGCAGTTACCTGTTTTCGTTTTTTTTTTATTAAACTTGATTTTTATGGACGGTAAATTGAAGTAGAACACTTTATTTACCAGGCAGCCCTGCTGTAATCTATTCTACAATTATTTATCATTCATACATTTCAAGTTTTGCAGATTGAAACAGCCCGCACGGGTATCACGTATCTTGAAAAGTGACATTATGCCGATCTTTTTTGACATTATGTAGGTTTTTCTACAAGATATTAACTTAGCACTTAGTTGTACGTGTTGCCTAAACGGCATGAAGCTTGTTCAATCTTTGGTTCTGATGTGATGTAAAATCTGCTTCTGAGATGGCATTACTCGAGGTCTAAGCTGTAAGTTGTATGTGTTGATGATAATTAAATTAGGTTCTTGTCTCAAATACACCTAATTGAGATTCATAGCTAGAAATTAGTTGCGTATCCACTTATTCTTATCCATTCTGGAAATTACATATACAAATTTGCTGAATTTCAAAAATGAAAGAGATAAGAAATATAATTATAATCACTGTTCACTGTCGAATTACAAGCCATATACATGCTAACAGTAATTACACACAACGCGGGCGCGGTGATGATTTCCCGTAATTCTCCTCAATTTTTCGTAATTTATAACTGATATATCACTGATTTTATACACATGCAGACCAATACACATAATCATCCAGTTGCGATCTTGCTAATCAATCAACTTTCTTCTCAGAGATAAGAACTACAGACAAGGACCATTTGGCCTCACAAAACATATGCAACCAATAATGCGTTTAGCTTAGTTGAGTGATTCCTCCTTAGATGGACGTTCACAACGATCTTATTGAGCAAACGTGGAATGACTGTTTGCGCCCTAAAAACTACCTAGATTGCAAGATGACATCTTATAGGTTTTTTCTTGATGTTTTATAGGTTTTCTACATGATACCTATGCCGATATTACTAACTATTGTAACTATTAGGAAAGTGTTCATTTGGCGAATCTGTCAAAGGACAGCGTTGCCAGATGGGACGGAGAGAATTTTCACAAGCATAAAAAGCCTTAAGAATTGCTACTTTAAAAAAAAATCCCTAAATCACAGTTGATTAATGCGAAGGAATAGATTTGTGTCAAAGAGCGGTGGGATGATTTCTGTCCGCGATCTATGGGGCAACTGGAGTCGTAAAACACATTTAAAAGATCCGTGACAAGAGCAACTTTATTGGCATCCAACAACAGCAGTACTCGCCTAGCGGGCTTACGTCTAAAAGTTGCTTGTTTCATACTGGGGGCCACTCTTGATATAGCTATGGTATTTGGGCATGTGGAAAGACGTCCATGATGGCGTGCAGTTGATCCGAAAGATGTTGACGTTAATCATTCGACTCTGTTATCGTCCGGTGTTCCTTGCTCTTTATCGGCAAACTGTGTAGCTGCTGGAACCTGATTTTAGTCAATTATAGTATATATTTCCATACCAACATCTGAGTCAATAAAGCCTCTTAGACGAGCTTCATGTCTGACCCTTATTGGAACTTGACCATTTATAACAACGTAGTCCGACTTTCTCAATGAAGACCGGCCAGCGATGTTGTGGGAAACAGGATGCCAGACAAAAAGGGAACCGGTTGGTGTCTGATAAAACCCAAGAGCAGAAAAAATATGAGTATTCATAAAGTGGAGAAGTACGCTTTCTGTTCTGTTCATATTGACGGAGATGTAACAGAATTGGTTTGTTCAGATGCTTGAGGGTTAGCAACAGAGGCGGGTAACTTTGCAAGATGGTCCGGAAATGTGCCAAATGGCAGACGCACTCAGAGATCCTGTTTAGATTACAGGCTAGCCCTCAGTGTATCCGCGCAGATTGCGAAAAATAACAAAGGAGTCGAGGAGTGGATTTTAAGACAACGCATTCTGAAATACATGAGTATCTTAAGACATCGCCATCAGGCTCGAGAGCTGTCATTCTAGGGCCTAGTGGTAAGGATGGACGTCTTTATCTCTAAATAAAGGCAACCCGATCTCTGCTGGTGAGCTGGAAAAAAAAGACTAGCAGCGACACTGAGGCCTGAGGATTATTATCATTGCTTGGGGACCCAACGATCTTGTACAATTTAATGTTTCCAAAACACAGTGCTGTACCTGCAAAGTAGGAGTATGTTGTGTGACCCTGTGATGCTTTGAGCACAGCAACCTTCGGGATTTCCAGAAGCTTAAGAAGTTAAGTTCAAGGTCATGCTCAACTTCGTTGGGAGGGTAGGGTTTGAGGCATAGGGAATATACAGGTGCAAAAATGGCTTCTATCAGACTCTCTCCATTTTTTCTCAAATAATACAATAAATGGAGATTTTAGGATCCGTCATGGTAATGGCGTATTGGGAACGAAACGCAATATCGGCTTGATTTCTTTATTTTTCTTAATGAAATTAGACCATCATAAGTATAACTTTCTAACTTAAACAGAAGCTCCCAAAAAATGGGTGCACGAAGGCTAAGTAACATCACAATAATCCTGTGATGATATATTTATTTACAAACACTTAACTATCTAATAAATACTTAAAAAAGAAAATGAGTTCATACAATAAATTAAAAAATATCACTCGCAACAAGCACGCACATGAAAACAACTATACAATAAATATTTACAAATGAAGAAGCATGAAGTAAACGAAAAAATATCACAAATTTTTGTTGATATAGGCCTCAAGAAATCTTCTGGAGGAGATAAAAACAAACGAGACAAACATGTTTATGTAAACGCTTTCTGGATAAGTATTATCTGTTTAAATATACAAAGGATACATTTTGCATATTCTGAATGCAAAACAGGTGCTCCATATCTGTCATATCAGATAGTTAAAACTGGACAGTTATAATCCTTCTGGGTCCAAAAATAACCTAGAAGGTTCCTTACTGAGATAGAGGGTGTTGAATTTGTGCTTGCAGGATATAGAAAAAACAATCTTCAGGGCGGATAGAGGTATCAACGTTTTTACATGCATAATAAGAGTATCATATCGTCAGTCTCCGCACGTAAGGGCGTAAATGATTTTTATAATTACATGGAATTAGTTTTTGTTTTACTACTGTTTTTATTTTTTGTTTTTTATAATTAATTATAATTTATCATTTTTTAGCTTACTACTGTTATTTTTTGATTTACACTTATTAGGAATCGCCTTTTATTTTGCTACTGTTGTTTGTTTGTTTCAGTTTTTCGTTTTTGTGATTCATTAATTAATATACATTACATATGTATATAAATTTTCAACTTTTCATATTTTTCCCTAAATGAGGAGCCAATCCGGCAACACCGCAGGCAAGCGCCTATCATGTATGACATATGCACATACGTCTACGTCATATGGCAGATAGATGGCGGTGGAAATAATGATGGAAAGAACAGCTAAAAATACAATGTTTTGGAAAAATTCTTTCATGAAAAGCGTGCTTCATCAGTAGTGTCATTTTCAATCTTATTTAAAGCTCTCCTGTAAAATTTGTAAAATGTTAGTTACGCAGGTGCGGAGACGATATAAGCAATATACATAAAGACTCCCTCAGCTGAAGCTGCATAATGGACACAGAAGCTGGAAAATTTTTAATCCCAAGGTACAAGAAGAAAAGAAGCAAACGTTAACAAAACACTTCTAGCATTTTTCCTTGATGAAAAAAATTATTACCGTTTTAGGAATTCCATCCCATTACAACGTTATTTGAAAAACGTTCATGTTCTACCTTTAATCAAGAACTAGATATTTGCAACACCTTATATCTCATCAAGGGGTCATAATTGAACCCGCGTTTCGCTCTTCGTATTATTTTTGCAAAATTAGAGGAGGTTCGTTTGTTTCCATCCCTTCCACTCCTTTTCGGAGCATTTATCTGCACTTATAATGTAGGTATTTTCACTTTAGACATCTTGTACTGTCTCAGGTCCTCGTCTTGAGGTAATGGTCTGTTTTCTCGTACTGGGGTGCCGTCTGGGTATACTCTGACTTCCATAGGTCCGGTCAATGGCAGATCCGGATATTCCGGCGATCTTTCGGACGTTAAAGACACGGATTCTTCACCTCCTTGGAATCTCGTGAAAACACCTTTTTTCTCAGTCAGCACGTCCATCACCTGCAAATAACAATATATTGTCATGTCGTTAATATAATATCAGGAATAGTTTGATTTGGTTTGGTAAAGATTTATTTAGCATAACTGCTACAATTACATTCTTCTAAAAAACTAAACAATTACATAACATGCAGATATTCAGAAAAAAAAACAAAATTTGCATCTCTAAGAATTTTCATTGTCCATGAAATATGTCCTTTAATTTTCTTTTAAATATCTTGAAATTACATATCATTATTTAGTTCATTAAATTCAAGTAATCCTTTCTGAAATATTGATTTGCTAGTTATATTAGAATTTTGTAAATGAAAATCTATATTCCTCTTGTATAATAATTGTGATAATGATTATTCAATTCTATGTAGTGCTCTAAATGTTCTGGCAAAAGATGATTTTTTGTTTTAAATATAAAAATAAGAACCAAATATGATATCAATTTTTTTATATTCAACCACTGCAATTCTTGTAACGTAGATTTATTTTGGTGTACTTATTTTTATTCAATATTATTCTTTTAGCTTTATTTTGCAAGACTTGTAATTTTGAGAATGCAGCTTCATTGGCAGTGAACAATATAGTTGAACAATATAGTAAATGCGGTAGAATAATTGTATTATAAACTATTTTCTTGGAATATGTACCAAGACTATGAGAAGCCCTATAAAAATAATTTATATGTTGGCAATTTTTGAAATAATGTATTCATAGTAATCCTGAAACTTTATTTTACTATCAATATATATATATATATATATAAAATTATTTAAAAAACATTAAATAATTTTAATCTGTTTTTAACTTTTTCTTGTCATATTTTTTATAATTTTGACCATTGTACCATCTATCCAGCTCTCACCATGTTACTGGACGTTTCCCTCATCCTATACGTAAAAAACAATTAGCAACATCCTCACATACTACTGTCCTGATGATGATGGCAAAGTCCATTGAAAGCTAGAGAGAATTAAAAAAGTATAAAGAGTCCTCTTTGCTTAAATTTTGTCGAAGTACTGGTCTAGACGACAATGTCTCAAAGAAAAATATATATATATATATATATATATATATAGGTGAAAAATTAAAGCTTTCGCCTTTTGTTGGGTACTTCGACAAAATTTAAGCAAAGAGGAATCTTTATACTTTTTTAATTCTCTCTAGCATTCAATGGACTTTGCCATCATCATCAGGAGCTGCAATTACAATGATAACAGTAGCAACAAAAGTGTAAAATGAATTTAAATTGACTCAACTTACAGTAGTATGTGAGGATGTTGCTAATTGTTGTTTACGTATAGGATGAGGGAAACGTCCAGTAACATGGTGAGAGCTGGATACATGGTACAATGGTCAAAATTATATAAAATATGACAAGAACAAGTTAAAGACAGATTAAAAATTATTTAAAAACATTGGAGCATTACATGACCACGTCTCAAGTTATATACATATATATACCTAAATATATAATTGATTCAACATTTTCAATTATTTCTTCATTTATTTTAACTGTGATAGTATTTTCATTTAGGTATTTCCCTATTAGCATACATTTTGTTTTAGAAGTATTCAATTTTAGTTTATTTACATTTAACCAATTTACGATTTTTGCCAAGTCACAATTTAGCATTTTTAAAGCAGTGTTTATATTTTCATCTAATATGTATATTAATGTATCATCTGCAAATATCTGAAGTTTACAATAATCTACTATAAACTGTTTGCGTCCTTGGTATAGTAGTAACATTGTGTAAAAATTTCATCGACATCCGAGTGGTAGTTCTCAAATTATAAATAATAAAAGACCGACGGAAATGAGTGAAAACATGAGGTTTTTCATGATGTACATGTCACATAACATCACAAAAACATAACATCCCGTTTCCAAAAATGTTTGTCGATTACAATACTTCTCCGTCAGTAGGCACACACCTGCTCTCCTTTTGTGAAGCTATTTTTCCTTTTGAATTGCAGGAAATTTCAGGTTGATATTACATAATGATATAAATCAAAATCATAAACAGTTTGATGCAAATAGATATTTGTAACATAACCTGAAAATAGAGCGCTGACACGGAGGAGTGGAAAACTAAGAAAATCAGCCCATAAAGGCGTCCTACAATTTATTGTACGAACGACTGACGATACGGCCCGAAGAAGAATTCCTATGAACAGGTCCGAAAATGCCTTGGTTTCATGATATCGGATTTCAGCCTTTTTGTAGTAGATTTACGCAAAAAAAAATCATAACCCTTCAGACAATTTTGTTATAATTTGTTGGAATTTAGCAGCTTCAGACGGCTTCTATAGCCGAAAATGACCTGGATTTTTTTAGGAAAAATGTATTAAAACCAGAAATTGTCATTGCCGTCTAGAGCGCGAGAATGCAAGATTTGCATTGAATTTTAGTTTTTGTTCGATTCAGCTAGATACGTACTAAATTTCAACAAATCTCTATTCAATCGTCTACGATTTTTATAAAAAGATATTTTCAAAAAAAGTATCACACCTTCCATCTTAAAACTACTTACTGACAATTTGTTAACGTGTGTACCTAATTTTCTAATTGCTAAACAATTGCATTCACAATTAAAAAAGATTCTAGATATTTTGTTGCAAATTAAATCCGATAGCCCACACATTCGCTACCCAATGGGTCAATTTTCAATTTTTATTGACCTGTTTGACAGGGTATTATGATTCTCAAATCACAAATTTTCCATGTTCCTGAATCTATACTAAGTGACATATAAAACCGAACACCCAGTTTAAATGGTTTTATTTTAATAAAATTTTGTATAAGTACTTAATGAAGCATAATAAGTAAATGATAAAAATTTCAAAATGATTGCACTGCTTTAAAGCCCTTTGACCTTTAATAATGTGTGGATGCACCCTGATGTGCTACGCATTCTCCAACGCGCCTAGGCATGCTTCTGATCAGGTGGACAATGTCCTCCTGTGGTATCTCATTCCAGGCAACCACCAACTCCTCTCGAAGTGCTTCTAGAGTCTGAGGAGGACGTTGCAAATTGAGCAATCTCCTACCCATCATATCCCACACGTGCTCAATTGGGGATAAGTCGGGAGATCTTGGTGGCCATGGTAACAATGTGACATCATTATGTTGAAAGAAGTCTATTGTGACTCTTGCAACATGTGGCCGGGCATTATCTTGTTGGAAAGTTGGATCTGCCAGGGTGTCAAGATAGGGTAAAAGATGGGGTTCTAGAACTTCGTGGATATAACGCTGCGCGTTCATGTTACCTCTGATGAAGATTAAAGGTGACCTGGAACCATAAGCTATAGCACCCCAAACCATAACTCCAACAGTGTGATGAACATGTCTTTCAACAAAAAACTGTGGATTCCTCCTTTCACCACGTCGCCTTCTAACCCTAGCACGACCATCGTGCATGCCTAAACAAAATCGAGACTCGTCACTAAAGTCAAGACTGTTCCATTCCTGATCCCAGAGTGACCGTTGTCTGCACCACTCAAGGCGATTACGTCGGTGTTCTCGAGTTAAAGGGAGGACCCAGTGTGGCCGGTATGAAAACAAGCCAAAACTTCTCATTCGTCGGTAAACACTTCGCATGCCAATAGGTCTTCCGTGTTCTGCAAACCATTCATCTGCAATGGACCTGGTAGTGGAGAAACGGTCCCTTAAGGCCAATAATCTTAGGCGGCGATCTTCACGGTCTGTTGCTCTACGGCGGCGTCCAGTGCCCCTTGCTCTTTGCGTACGGCCTTCTCGAAGCCATGCCTGACAACACCTAACCACAGTGTCTACACTTCTTTGCACTCTAACTGCAATTGCCCGAAAAGAAAGTCCAGCTTCCCGAAGTCCCACTATACGGCCCCTATCAAACTCACTAAGTTGACGAAATCGTACAGGTCTCCGTACTCTAGGCATCGTAACCGATCGTAAAGGATGTCAAGATCCAAAATCCGCCAACGTTGATTTTTTACTGCGGCTGAAATATTAATTTTTAGAGCGTTAGTGAATTAAAAAAAAGCAGTATAAAAACCGGAATGTCCAACTGATAAGGCTGAAAATTTTTTCACTTGTTATTTACAGTAAAATAAATACATTCACCAACTTTTATTAAAATAAAACCATTTAAACTGGGTGTTCGGATTTATATGTCACTTAGTATATACTCTGAGGTTCAAGCCTTGCTTAAGCTTAGGAAAAAATGGCGTCACGTAGGTTGACTCTACACTTTCCACGCAACGCTGTCATCAGTTCATAAAGGATTATTTTCGGTACAAATTACTACCCTCTAAGGAAAAAGTTAGCTACGAACACGTATACAAAAATTGAATCGATCAAGTCAGTCAGTTCTTTGTCTGTATCTCCGCTGGCTTTGGATCGTTTTTCAAAGGCTACAAAGCTTTGTCGTCCTTGGCAACCTTGTGTTAAAATTTCATCAGTCGGAAAAGAGTGGAATGTTTCGATTTTGAATGAAAGAAATTTACCTGCGGATATGTGACGTGCAGATCTTCCACAGAAGGATCCGCTCTTGGGACGAATCCTTTTGGAGGCGGAACTCTGTAGACGTTGTCGATCTTTGCAGAAGCAGCTGTCTGAATGCTGAAGTCGACATCGCTGAAAGATTCATCCTCGTAGGAGTTAGGCTTTGCCGTTGAGGTTGAGGTTTTCGGCCGGGTGGTGGTCTTCGATAAGGGATGTTTCGACATCATGGCATCCCAAACTGAAAGAAATAAGAAAACATTTCAATTGCTTGTATTTTGTTGATTATGCTGTAGTAAGCTCGGAAAATTGTGAACTTAATGCAGTAATAATAAGGTTTATTTGCAACATACATTTTAGGTAAGTAGTACACTGGAGCAAAATACATAAATAAAACAAAAAGGGCTGAAAGCACTTATAAATGATCAGTTCAGCCCTGTAGCTATTAGACATTTATAAAAAAAAGATTTACCTATAGAAAATCCCGATAAAAAATGTGAATGTTAGTACAAACAATAAACTTTCATTAATTTGATCGCTTATGCCTTGTTTACATTAGGCGCAATGAAGCGACTTTTTAAGATATTTTTTTATATTTGATTTTAAACTGGTTTGGATACAGCATTTTGAAGTTATTAGGAATTTGATTATGAAGTCGATAAATGTTACATGAGAAAGATCAACAAAAATAAGAGGTTTGATGATATGTATCCGCAATATTGTCGAACAATCTGTATACAAGTGGAAGCTCGCCTTAATAAATTATACAGGGTATAACTACATCTACACACCAGATTAATATTTATCTAATGTTCTGAGTCAAATTCATGAGCCGTACATAAGATGACAAGATCATTAAGACGCTGACTCAAAACTCTTCTATCGGTATTTCTTGTTAATAGTACGAATGTCTGAAATAATGAAATAGTAATTTTACCACCAATATGCTTGATTTGATGTCAAATGTCTATGGTCATATTTGTTTCTCAATCACGATATAATTTGAGCATACCTTTTGACTGTGGGATAGAATGCTGGGAAAGTAAATGTTCAATCGGAATTAAATTCCAATGCGTCAGCTTCAAAATGAGTGCTTCATCATAATTTTCTAAATTGTGAGGCTGTATGCTGTTACTAGCACCGTGTACATACTACGCGAAAAAAATATAATATAGCTTTTATACAGGGTGCGGCAGAGACGATGGACGGTTTTAAAAAAATCATAAAATAGTTAATTTTTACTCGAAAACAAATTTATTGATGGGATCAGGTTCACAAGGAAATAGCAGTTGAGACAGTCGAGTGTGGAAAATCACATCAGGCATGTGGTGGCCGAAATCGTTGATGCAGTGCTGGAGGCGTTCTTGGAAGTTCGCGTAGACTCTCTCCAACATCGCTCTCTCAACTTGGGCGACTTCCACGCGAATTTCGCCCTTCAATTCGTCCAGAGTTCGGGGCTTGTTCGCGTATATTCTAGCCTTGAGGTGTCCCCATAAGAAAAAATCGCATATGTATAAATCTGGGGACCGAGGAGGCCAATGAACATCGCCAAACCTGGAAATAAGGCGACCAGGGAAGAGAGGGCGAATAACGTCCATGGATGCTCGGGCTGTGTGGGCGGTCGCCCCATCCTGCTGGATCCATATGCAAAATTCGCCTTACCGAACGATCACTAAGGCGAAGTGCAGCAGCATGTTTCCGGGCAGATCGAGTCGGACTGCGAGGAAATACCTGTCGAACGCTTTCAACATTTTCAGGAGTTCGAACTGTTCGCGGCGCTCCTCTTGGCCTTCTGTTGATCAGTTCACCACGCCTGCGAAGTGATTCAACCCAACGAAGGATGGTGTTTCGAGAGGGAACAGCTCTATTCCGATGAATGTTGAAGTGGCGACGAAACTCACGCTGTACGACGATGACTGCCTCATTATTTCGGACGAAACAATCATAGGCTCTACCGCCCAAGGCTCCATAACGGCAACTGGTAAAATAATGCTAGGATCTCACGAGTCAAACGGCACCCTCCCCACCTCTCTCGTAGACGGAGGCCATCCCAAAAACGCCCGTCCTCTCTGCCGCACCCTGTATATTGGTGCCTGACTTCCTCTCTGTCGTAATTGACCGATTCTCCTCTTCATCCCACATCGTCAACGCGGGTCAACGACCTACTTTCCTATACGCTCAATCCAAAGAATGCTAGTCTTCTGACGAGAGACCTGGAGGTAATCACTGCTTGGAAACGCAACAGTCTTGTACGGTTTAATGCTCCCAAAACACAGTACTGTACTTTGAAGAGGCCTAGCGTTCAGCTGGATCACCGAGGACTTGATCTGGTACGAACACATCTCATCAATACCGGCAGCTGTTGGGAAACAGCTAGGCTATTTGATGACGGCTAAGAAGTACTCTGTACAAGGTCCTGATAAGATCTAGACTTGAGTGTTGCTCACATATTCGGGCCGCCGGCGTTGTAGCCCGCTTCCACCGATACGCCAACGGGTTTTGCTCATCAGAGCTCTACTCCATGATGTCGCCACGCGATGTGCTCGCCAGACAGACTCACATTTTGTACATTCAGAACTGGCCGACACGACGGCTACTTTTGTGGAACAATCTACAAGTTTCTTTAAGCTCCTTTAGGCGCATTCATTTCGGTGTAAAAAAATTATCGTACTTGTCATCCTCAGAAATCATGTATCGTCAATTTTCATGTCGATATCACAAAAACAATTTGAGCTACAGAAAAATAAAGACTTCGAGAATTAAGCTCAGTCCCACTGCATCTTATTAAGAATGACATTTAACTAAGTCATGCTTGAGCTCAGTGTCATTATTTTCATGAGTTTAAGACTGCTTTTTAGTCTATTCATTGAAGTGTTAATTATCCTCAACCTGTCAGTTCTTGCGGCATGATGATATCTAAATATCCAACGGCGGTTTCATTACATTTAAATTCCCAAAGACACAGTTATTCGATTGAAAATAATACGCTGACATGGTCGATAAAAATAAATACTGTTATTTGTCTATTTTCAACGGTCTTCAACGCCTACCGAACCGAACAAACGATTTATCACGGTCAACTGCAACGGCTCCTTTTTGCGACCTCCTGATATAATTTCGACATTACTTTGTCACACATTCGGCCTATTTGTGTCCACTTGTAATATTTACCACGTCCAGCTATTATTGACGTAAATTGCACATACAACAGCCTATACTTGTATTTCCGTGAAAATGGTGACAAATTGTAGATAAGCCCGCTTTTATTTCTTGCTTTTTGGTTTAGTGTCTCAAGGATAGCAGGAAGTATACTTTGTCATTTTAAACAGACAGATATAACTAGAAATCATGCCCAATGTACTGTAACCGAAAAAAATATTGATATTAATTTCTCAATTCTTTCATGAATATATCTATATACAGGGTGTTTCAGTTTATTGTTGCAGAACTTTAAGATTCGAGAGAACTTTTAAAATTAATGCATAAAGTCTATATGAACATGGGTCGAATAATGCGTGGCTTCCGAAATACAGGGTGTTTAAATTTACTTTTTAAAATAGATTTTTTTTAATATTTCGAACAATATTTGATGTATAATGGTGAAAATTGGTATACAAGGGTTTTTTGGTACGACAAAACGAACCATGGGCATAGTTTTACTGTAGCCGCTAGAGGGCGCTCTCTACTGTACCTGTAGTGTATTAAAATGACCGAAAAATTTTTCTTAGTGCAATTTTTTGCTTTTTGAATAGAAAATCTAATTCTTCGCACTTTTCAACATAAAAAAGCTCTCTTGTGAGTTTTCGTTATAGTTAGCCGTTTTTGAGATATTTCGATTTTTAAGGTTCTATGCATTTTTAATTATTTATGGGAAAATAATATTTTTTTTACATTTTTGATTTGGGCATTACAAGTAATTAAGATGATCGTTTAGATTGTGTTTTTAAACACAGCAATACTCCCTAACTCCAAATAAACACAAAAAAACAAAATATTAATTTGTTTAATTTTCCAATATTATTTTTAACAAATTAAATTAATTATTTACAACTAAAATGCTATTGGATAGTTAGGACAAACATACAAAATCTAAAGTAGTTGCTCGAAATGTAAACCCAATTGTTCAATACACAATTCACATCTACGAATGATCGAACGTGGTATAGCATTATTCAAATAAGGCCTTATTTCATCACATGCATTCCTGATTCTGTCTATTAGCATATCTCTTGTGGTTACGGGAGTCTGGTACACTTTTTCTTTTAGAAATCCCCACACAAAGAAATCTAATGGATCTAGGTCAGGGGATCGTGGAGGCCAGGCGACTGGTCCTCCACGGCCGATTCATCTTTCTGGATAATTTTCGTCCAGCCAGTTTCTAACTGTTCTCGAATAATGAGCTGGACAACCATCAAGCTGGAACCAGGCCAATCTTCTTAAATCTAACATAACATCATCCCACATATTTGCATGTTCAGCCTTAAAAATTCCAAGAAGGTCGCAGCATCTAACCTTGCAGGCAAAAGGTAGGGTCCAAATAGTCGATTACGGTAGATACCAATCCACACGTTCACACTAAATTCATGCTGAAAATTTCTTTCCCGAACTGCATGCGGATTTTCATGCGACGTCTAGTGAAGCATGACTCATCGGTCCATAAAACGTTACTTAAAAACTCCCTATTATTATCAGTTCTATCAAGAATCCACTGACAAAATGTGATTCTTCGTTCTCCGTCCCCTGGCTGTAGTCCTTGCACAGGTTGCAAATGGTAAGGACGTCTATGGTCATTTCTAAGAACACGGTGAACATGGCTTGCTGAAATTCCCAAGGCACCAGAAACTCTCCTAACACTTGTGGTCGGATCTCTATCAAACTCACGCAGAATCATACGGGTAAATCTGCGTTGACGAACATTTATGTTTTGATCCCTTTGGAGATTTCCAAAACCATTTTCAATTATTTGGTGATGCACTCTTACAAATACTGAGCGAGTTGGATGTCGTCTGTTTGGAAATCTTCGTGCGTATTCTCTGGCTGCTTCTGCTGCGTTTCCATTTACAAAGCCATACACAAAATGAATATCCGCTAACTCTTGATTGGAGAATAAAAATGGCATTTTTATAAAACTTACAAAAAAACACAGGGAAAAGAAACTAAATTTCGTGCATTCACAATTGCAAAAAAACGTTTCAGGTTTCAACAGACAACAAAACTGTCAACTAATTGACGTTTAACCTT